GTGCTGGTATAGAGAAATGAACCCCCACACTCAGCTGACAAAAGCAATGATAAGAGAAAAACTAATGTCAGTAACAAGCTGTATCAAAAAGAGAAAAGATTATAGTTCAACATTCTAATATTACACATTAAAGAACCAAAAAAAGGAAACAAAAAAAGGAACTCAGCCTGAAGTTAGAAGAAAAGAAGTATTAGTAATTCTACATTAGAGACTAAAAAGGTATGTGACAAGATCAATCTAGTGAAAACTTGAGTTTTTGAGAAAAAAATGAACAAACTTTGAACTTGAATAAAAAAAAGAGAGAGTGGACTTAAACACATAGAGGAGGCATGACTTCTCCCAAGGAAATAAAGACCATAATAGTCTGAGCAAATACACACCAGCAAATTAGAGCTAGGGAAAAAATGGGCTGATTCTTGGACACATATGAAGGAATAGAATATTGAAATGGAAGTGTGAACCAGAGATTGAGGCCTGTACTTTGCTGCGTGTGGTCCATGTCGCTGTGATCCCAGAACTTGTGGGTTTGAGGTCAGCGAGAGTTACTGAGTGAGTCTGACTTCAGTCTAAGTATAATATTCTCCAGTTACAGGAAAGCCCGGAAGTGGCTGCTGGCTTTACCACTGAAGTCTATAAAACATTTAGAACGAATAGCAATCACTTTTAGAACTCCAAAAATTGAGGAAGAAATAATTCTATTCTTTTTCAAGGCCAGTGTGAATATGATATCAAAGCAAATCAGAGTCTTTCAAGAAAAGAGAATTATAGGTCAGTGTTCTTGACGAAAATAGATGCAAAGTTCCCTAACAAAAAAAATATTAAAATGGTTGAATTCAGTCATGTGTTTATTTATCTCTGAGATACACAAATCAATAAACATGATTTAACCTTTGATACAACAAAAGACAAGAAACCCACAGGATCATTTCATTACATAAAAAGGGGGGAAAAGCCTTTGTCAAAGTTCAGCATCTGTTCACAGTGGAAACTCTCACAAAATTGTGTGTAGAAAGAATGTATCTCTCAACAAAAGAGAGGCCAAGTAGGAGAAGTTCTAGGCTAATTGTGAGACTCAGCTTCATGGAGGGCATGCTGGACCAAAGTTTCACACGCTAGGAGAAAGAGGAAGGAAGGGATTGGGCGGGGACAGGGTGGGGGCACAGTGGAAAGGGCAAGTCATGGACCAAAAGGTGTTTCCAAGGAATTGCTTCCTCAAGTAAGCTCCACCTCCAGAGTTCTGCCACCTCCAGTTTCACGTGTCTTTACCACACAGCCTTTTGGGGGACATTTTGGAGCTAAACCAGTGCGCGGTCCCTACTCTCCCAGCAAAAATTGCTCTCACCAAAGTGATGCATTTGGTGCACTTGTTTCCTACACAGGGTCTTGTTGTGTAACTCAGGCCAGCCTTGAAGTCCCAGTAATCTTCCTGCATCTTCCTTCTGAGGGTTGAAATTACAGCCATGTGTCACCATATCTGGTACCATTTGTGACAAGATATGGTCACTCAACTGCTTCGTCCTGGGATCGGAACATTTCTATTGATTCTATGGTTGACATCCAGCTTTAATATTCGTAGCGGTCAGATAGGATTCAGGCTGTTGCTTCAGTTTCCTAGTGTCTGTTGAGACTTGCTTTGTACCCGAGTATGTGTTCAGTTTTGGCGAGAGTTTCATGAGGTGCTGAGAATTGTTGTGTTTTATAAAAATAAAGAGAAGAATGAATATGTTTGGTGGAGGTGCCGTATGATGTGTGTGTGTGGGAAGGGTTTATTTAGGACATGGGGAGGGGAGTTGAGGGGGTAACAGAGACAGAGGAAGAGGGGGGGATTAGAGGCAGCCATGAGCATGTCAAAAGAAGGGGAGGGGAATGGAGAAAGAGGATAAGGAGCCAGGAGCAAGAGCAAGAGAGCAACTGAGTGAGGAGGGGACAAGCAGCCCCTTCTGTAGTGACTCAGGCACACCTGGCTGTTGCCAGGTAACTGTGGGGGCTGAGACTAAATGCCAACAAGAAGAAAGCATATTCTTCCGTATTTTTGTGAAATGTTCAGTAAATATCTGTCAGGTCCGTTTAGCTTGTATCATTAGTGAGCTCCAGCATTTCTGTTTCGCTTTTGTATGAATGACCTTTCGATTGGTGAGCGCAGGGAATTGAAGTCTCCCACTCTTAGTGTGAGGGTCAGTATGTGATTGAAACTGCAGTAATGTTTGTTTCATGAATTTGGGTGCCCATGTGTTTAGTGCACAGGCGTTAAGAGTTGCAATTACTTCTTGGTGCATTGCTCATTTGATGAGTATCTAGTGTCCTTCCTCTTCTGATTAGTTTTGGTTTTGAAGCCTATTTTGTCAGAAATTAAAATGGCTGCACCAGCTTGCTTCTTAGGTCCAGTTGTCTTGGGAGCCATTTTGCCTACTTCTGTGAAAGCCTGCATTCAGGCAGAGTCACGTCAGGCCAGTGTCTACAAGTCAGTCAGATTTCCTGGCCGGCTGACGTATGGAACGCTAAGAGGGGATACCCTGGAAGCTCAAGGTGAGCGGCTGAATATTCTGTTAATCTTGGAGGAAGGAACAAGGAGGCCTCTAGATGGGTACAGATAGTCAATGTACATCAGCCATCATCTCTGCTGGCTTGTGACTTTGTTTCTCACAATCCTTAAAGTGTATAAAGCCCATGAGAGTTAAGCTTGAGGCTGTCACAGTATTCACTGGATTTCTAACCTTTGTCTCTCAAGTCTTCCTTTCCATCTTTCCTATAGTCATCCTCGCTCCCCCTCAGAGGATCATTCTCACATTTGCTAGAAATATCCTTGTCTATCCCTTTATCTTGAGGTCTATCTTTGAAGTTAAGATGTGTTTTTTGGATGCAGCAGGAAAGTTCCTGTCATTGGATTTGTTCTGTTAGACTGGTTTTTGTTTTTGTTTTTTTGTTTTGTTTTGTTTTGTTTTGTTTTTGTTTTTGTTTTTTAAATTGGGAAACTGAGACCACAGTTGTTGAGAGATATAAACTAGCAGCGTATTTTGATTCCTGTTATGTTGTTGTTGTTGTTGTTGTTGGTGGTGGTGGTGGTACGTGTGTGTTTCTGTGTGTGTTTTCTCTCCTTTGATTTGCTGCTCTGGGATTTTTCCTAGATGTAGTTAACCTCTTTAGATAGAAGTTTTTCTCCTAGTGTCTCTGTAATTTGTAATTTGTTGACAGAAATTGCTTCAATTTGGTTTACCATGGAATGTCTTACTTTTTCTATCTATTATGATTAAAAAATTCTGCCTGGTAAAGTAGTCTCGGCTGACATCCTAGGTCTCTGCAAGTCTGTCGGATACCTATCCAGTCCATCTGGCTTTTAAAGTCTCCATTTGAGAAGTCAGGTATTGATTGTTCCAGTAGGTCTGCCTTTATATGTTATTTGGTCTTTTTCCATTGCAGTTTTTTTTTAACTTTTATTTTTTATTTTTTTATTATTTATTTTTGGGAATTTCACATCATGCACTCCAATCCCACTCATTTTCCTGTCTCCTCATACCACACCTCTACCCTTGCAACCTCTCTCCTCAACAGAGAAGAAACAAATCTCCTCATGAAAGTTGTACTGAGTCACAGTGTGTCCTACACTATACCCTTTGGTCCACACTTCTTTACTTGCAAATGTTCATTGCAGTGACTCAGTCTGGTAAGAGGCCTCTAACTTCTGCTACTTTGTCAATACTGAAACCTCACCAGGACTCCTCTGGGATATCCTGTCATTGCCCTGTGTCATGGAGATTCTGTAATTTTGGATCTGAAGGACTGGCTTCTTCATGCACTCCAGCAGTTGATTCATGGAGTAGATGTTGGGGTGGGCCAGTTCAAAGCCCTGGATCTGGACCTGGGTGGTGTTTGAGCTGGGCAGCCTGCCAGCTCTCCCTCTCTTACACCTTTGGGGCCAGCTTACCAGCATCCCTACAAACAGGGCCAGTCTCTACCCTGCTGCCCAGGCGAGGTGCTGGGCTCCCTCTCCTGAGAGCTGCAGCTGGTGAGGGACAAGGCCATTTGTCCCTGTGTCATGACCCTGAGGTGAAGGGCGTCACAGCAGTTGAAGAGCAGGGTCAGTTCTCTTGCTCTCATGACGCCAGGGCCAGCTCTCTTGCCTGGACACAAGAGAGGGAGAGAATCTATCCCTTACAGCTGCCATCGCCTAACAGAAGAGGCAGGGCAGGCTTTTCCACACTCACACTCAGTACTGGCTCACCCACAAGCCCCATATCCAGGGCCAGCTCTACTGTGCTGCCCAGGTGAAGTGCTCTCCTGCCTGCTGTAGGGGACAAGGAGTGAGGAGGGCTCATCTCTCCCTTGCCCATGCCACCACACATGGCAGACAAGTGGCAGGGCCATCTCTCCTACACTCACGCCCTTGGGGCTGGCTCTCCTGGGTGCCCACCACCAGGGACAGCTCTACTGTACTGCCTAGGTGAGGTGCAGGGCCCAGTAGCCTGAGTGCTGCGGCTGCCTAGGGTGGGGTCATCTCTGCTGCTCTCATGCTTCCAGGGCCAGATTTCCCATGATGCCCAAGTGAGGGTGGTGCCAGACCTGCACACCCCTCAGACATAAATTAAACACGTCCCCAGGCAGCAGCCCAGACAAGGAACAGACATCTGCTTGGCCTTTGGTGGTAACAAATCTCTGTTGCTTCAGGGCGATGGATCCAGATGGGGCCCCCAGTGGCAGCACAGGCCACACCCCACCGTGGTCCGAGGTGGCATCACCAGCTACAGTCATCAGGTTACTCTACACTGGCCTTGAGTCTCAGTGTTCCCATATCCCTCTGTTTCTCGTTCTTTCCCATTTCTCCACCATTTACTTGTTCCTCTTAGTGGCACTCAGTGTCTCTGAAGTGTCTGGGGTCATCTCAGTAGTGCTATGCCCTGTTCATGAATTATGGCACCATGTAGGGGTCACCTAGGACAGGTGTGCCTGCCCCAGGTCTGCACAGCACCGGACTGGTGATCATCTCAGGCTCATGTTTTTCAGAGAATGTTAGGGTGCTAACCATTCAGATGTTCACAGGTCAGAACACTGAGCTTAGACACTGGCTCTCTCCTCTCTGCCACTTACTGACACACATGTGACAAAGCAGCCACGCCTGCAATGCCTCTAAGGGGCAGGTCCCTTGCAGTTTTTAAATGTTCCTCTTTGTTGTGTATGTTTAGTATTTTCTTTATTATATGGTGAGATTTTCTTTTCTGGTCCAATTTATTTAGTGTTCTGTATGTTTCTTGTATCTTAATAGGCAACTCTTTCTTTAGGTTAATACATTTTTTACAAACTGATTTTGTTGAAAGTATTTTCTGTACTTTTTACCTGGGTTTCTCCTTCCTCTATTCCTATTATTCTCAGATTTTGGTCTTTTCATAGGATTTCAGATTTTTTTTGATTTCTTTTTGGCCAGAATATTCTTTTAGATTAACATTTTCTTTGACCAACATATTTGTTTCTTCTATTGTGTTTTTAATGACTCAGGTTCTGTCTTCTATCTCTTGTATTTTGTTGGTGAGGCGTACATCTAAGATTTCTGTTTGATTTTCTATTTATCTTTATTTCTGTATCTCCTTCAGTTTGGGTTTTCGTTATTGATTCTGTTTCCACTTTCAGGTCTTGAACTCTTTTATCCATTTCATTTCACTGTGTTTTCAGAGATTTCTTTAAGGGATTTATTCATTTACTCTTTATTTATTATTATTATTATTATTATTATTATTATTATTATTCTTTCTTTCTTTTTTTTTTTGTTTTTCGAGGCAGGGTTTCTCTGTGTAGCCCTGGCTGTCCTGGAACTCACTCTGTAGACTAGGCTAGCCTCGAACTCTCAAACTCAGAAATCCGCCTGCCTCTGCCTCCCCAAGTGCTGGGATTAAAGGCGTGAGCCACCACCACCCGGCTTCATTTCCTCTTTTAGGATCTTTATTATATTTTTACAATTTTAAGGTTTTTTAAATGTTTGTTTGGCTGGTGTTTATTTGTGTGTATGCTTCAGCTATGATGTGATATTCAGGGCCTGCTTTTGTAGGATGACTAGGCTCTAATGGAGACATATTTTCCTGACTGTTATCCATTGTGTTTTTTATGCTGGCACAGGCATCTATCTGGGCTTAGGAAAATTGTAATTTTCGGTGCTGATATCTGGTTTTGTCTTTGGTGCTGTTTTGTTCATTGGTTTATGTACATCTCTGGTTCTTAGAAAGGTGTGTTGGCTGTGTGCTCCCTGGTAGAAAATTCTTCTGGGACCCTGATAGGTGTGACCACTGTGGATTTCAGGTAAAACGTGTTTCTAGGTGTTGTAGAGAAACACTTGGTAATGGGAAATGACTGGGAAAGGAGATTTGAGTGGTTATTTAGGAGGGAAGAAAGCAAGGCCTTCCACCAGTTATCTGCTCATTTCCCTGAGAATGAGGCCAGAGAGTGAGGAGAGGCCATAGCAGAAAGTCTGCTGCAGGACTGGGGATGAGACTGGAGGATTACATTTTTCCTTTGTGAACTGAATTTTGGATTCACACTGTACTTCAGTCACAGATGTCTAGTAAATGCTTTTATTTTTAAGTAGGAAAAAATAAAATTAGCATCACTTCAGTTTCTGCATATGCAACATCATTTCTTTTCTGATAGTGAAAGATTGATGGGATATAAATTATGATAAAAAATTAGTGCAGAGATCATTAATCACATCAAAGTCCTAGTTAAATTTTATTTTAAAATAACAGTCATGCTATATCAAAATCACAGTCCTCCATTAGAAATAAAGGGAGGAAAAGAGTCATTGAATTTATTCTGTCATTTCCTGTATCTTCCCCTGATATCTGTTCTAGCAATATACATTGCAGTTTCAAAACTTGTGTCCCTCCACGATCACTTAAACTAATTCTTTAAAATAAACGTTTAATTCTAGCAATGCATATCCAAAGAGAACTCTGACTGACAGAGTCATTGTAGACTTGACTTATAAGGTGAGTTTTCTTCCAGAGTTTCTAGAAATAGTTTTATGATATGATTAGTTAGACTTACATAGAAGTTAGGGGAGCATTGATACTCCACTCATGCTGTAGTGAAGCAGTAGAGATATATAAAATATCATTATAACGTATGTATAATTAAATATGTTTTCAGAAGAAAAAAAACAGTCATGGTTTCTTGTTCCAAGTTAATTTCTGTGTTAACTTTTTTTTTTTTTTTTTTTTTTTTGCTTTTAACATGTAGGGCAGAGCTCACACCTCTCAACAGTGCAGGCTGCCACATTACATCACTGTAGAAAGTGAAAGCCAGAAAAGAGACGGGAGTGGTTTAGGTTCTGTCATGAATAAAGAAGGTGCACTCCAAGTGACGATCGGCAGAGTCATGTCTTATGAGCTTGGAGAATATACTCACACACAAGCCCTTTTGTTATTCATTATAATTAAGTACTTACTTAATGCTTAAAATTGCCTTGAGGGTTTGCAGTGATGAGGGTTAAGGAAAGCTCTCTTTGTAACTTCCCTGCTTTAAAGAATTCAAAGTACCAGTCTATTTTGTGCCTTCTAATTTGTAGGAGCCACTAAAGACAAGTATGCCTGAGTTGTTCTTGAAATATCAAAGCAGCATTACAGTCGGAGCTTGTTATCTCTTTTTTCCATGGGCTGTGCATACAGAGTTGTTACAAAACAAGAATAGAAATGGATTTTTTTTTTTTTTTTTTTTGCAGAAGGCAATGCACATTAGAAAAGATCTCAGAAAGGATTTCTATTAAGAGACTTCTGTTGTGTTGTCCTTACTGGGAAGCTAACTACATGGAGCTTCTCTCTTTTGTCACCCAGCATTATATGGAATGGAATGTAACAATTACCCAGACCTTATCTTTTATAGGAAAAAACGTAGACCAGAATTTTTTATTATGACAAAAATGCATTTCTACATAATATGTTTGGGCTATTTTGCCTTAAAGAACTTGCTAATTTTCTTAGCACTTACGTTTGAACTGACATTATTGGTAGAATTATCAATGGAAACGCAAAAGACTAGACTCCAACTCTCCTATGGCTCTCATGAGCTCCCTTAAGAGAGACACTATGTTCTTTTCTACATCAAACTTGATCAAGTAGGTGGCTGGGTTTTGGAACTGTTATAGTTAGCCATAGGCCAGTTCACTAGAGTGCTAACTCAATGATTTACATATATAGAGGCCTATAGGGAGTTTTCCTGGGATCAAAATATATCTAGATTAATAAAATCAGGAGTGAGTAGAGGGATCCTAGGTTTATGATAACTTTTCAGTTATTCAGACCTTGAGGTGGTGGGTTGGATCTATATATTCCTTCTTCTGTACCTACCTGTCATGGATTGAGAAAAAACAGTGTAACCTTGGGTCAGGAAGTTGCTTTATGATGAAGGCTATGATTTAACCATAGAAGCTGGAGGGACAGAGCTTCAACTTTGGTTCAGTGTGATGTGTGAAAGAGGTCATGGCAGAATCTGTGAAGCTGGAGTGTTGTGACATTAAGTCTGTACACACAGCACCATAGATAGTGGGATTTTTTTTTAATCATAGAATATAATACAAAACTAATGTGTTCTTGTGTTTGTTCTTGTTTATATGTATACTTGTATATACATATAAAAATATACATAAATACACATATCTATGTATATTTAAATCTCATTATGCAGACTCTCCTTACGGAGTCAGTTAATTCATTCATCTGCTCATTCACTTTCTCACTTATCCGGCAAGCTATTCTGTGGTGAGTTTGGAGGACAGGTTTTAGAGCACTCACTCTTTCTGATAGAGCCTTGATAGTTGAGACTTGGAGGGAGCATTTAAAAGATATTCTTAACATACAATTACAGATAATACACAGCAGTAAAAGCTCATAGGAATATCTACTAAAAATGAAGAGGCTCTTCAGTGTTTGTCGACAAAGTAGACGGTAGATTTCTTTGTATTACTGAGCATGGTAAGAAGTCATTTGTTTTCAAACATCAAAGCATGTCTCCTTTTGGGGGATTGTTTCTCTATGAGAAAGAAGGACTAAAGCCTGTGAGAAGTCCTTCAGCAGGAAGCCAAAAGGTATGAGCGCTAACCATCCCACTCCAACCCCCAATTGTGAGAAATAATGAACAAAGGCAAAATGAAGATTTTAATATCAGATTTTTTTGAAGCGCTGAAAAAATGTACACACACACATACTCACAAACACACACAGACAGACCCCCCCACACACACACGTATACACAATACACATAGGTTTTGATCATGAGTTGCAATTTGTCAGTTCTTTAATCAACACTAATCTAATCTATATAAAAGATTAGACTCAATTGAATGGATTCCTATTAGAAGCCGATGATAATCTTCCCCGAATGCTTTTCCTGGAATGTTTTTCAATTCTGAACACTTTACCATGTGACTGGTAGAAAAGAAATGACTATTTGGGAGTGGTACAATGGTCTGGCCCTTTATTGTAAAATGAACGTATAATTCTAGCTACCCTGTATAAAAGACACACGATCCAGGTATTTTATTTATAAGCCTTAAGCCTAGGCTGGGAGGCTTAGAGCTCTAAACTTATTTCCCAGCTATAAATTCCCTTGTTACTTGCTGTTTTTCCTGGCCATGTTCCCATAGGCCATTTTCTGTCATGGCAGCCCCTTCTGCTCTCCCTGTCTGTTCTTCTTCATCTCCCTTTGCCTGCAACCTACTCACTCGATCCTCAAGCCCTGCCTTTCTCCCTTCACTGCCCAATCACAGGCTCTAGCCTTTTATTGACCAGTTAAATTGAGGAGCAAGGTTTACATCCCATCACTTGATGTTCATGAGGATCTGCTGGTTGGGGCAATCCACATGTTGAGATCCAGTATTTAGCATTAGAATACAAGCAGCATCAGACCAACCCACGACACCTTATACTTTTTTCTCTCTTCAGTTTCCTGATTGTGCAGTGTCCTCCAGGTCTGTGTGGGGAATCCACCCAGCTGTCTTGAATGGGTGAGTGCAAGGTGTAGTTTTAGGGATGTATTTGTAGGATATCTTTGTTTCTGCTCTCATTGCACCATCTGTCTTGTGTGAGGAAAGAGACCACATGGCTCCATGGAATTTTCTTTGTTGTTGCTCTCATAAATCTACTCACCCCGATCATTGC